AAAGGGTGGGTGTTTTCACTGTCATCACGAACTCTGAGCGATTGGCATGTCTGGGACACGCCCGCGATGCTCCTGCGATATCGGACTTGTGCAGCAGAGAAGAACAGGCGATGCGACGACGTACTGCCACAGCGGGGAAGACCACCGGTCGGATTCCAATCCGTCGGCAACCCCTTTGAACGACCCCACCCACCCCCCACCTAGCACGCCGGCGCCGGCATGGAGAAAAGGGTTACTAAATACTTCTACTACTCACCTTGTTGCAGTCTAAGTCCAAGTTGTAAATTATCCAAGGAAGGGCATTCCCATTTGCAACGCACACACTAACACTCACACACACACACGCGCGCACTGTCGCATCCACCAGCGCACTCGCAACTCGAAGCACTCGCGCACGTACTCGACACGCAGCAACTTGTCGACGCGACGACCGGGACGGCACCAACACCGACTACCGACTGGACTGAGCGGCTGTGACTGACAGAGCGCCAGCGCGCGCGAGTCCAGCCCGAGTCACAGTGCACAAGGAAGAGGCCCGCCGGGCACGACGCCAGCGCTGCGTCGCCGAACTATCCCTAGAGGCGCGGAGTTCAAACTGCGCAGCGGCAGCGCTGCCAAAACAGAAGAAGAACGGTAAACAAACAAATGTCGCTAACCTGTGCATATTGCAGACGTTGACGATTGAACTGATGTCAACTCGAGCTTTGTCGATTCTGAATTGAAATCAGATGGTTATTTGTTTGTTATTTTCCCGTAATTGATGTTCTTAGATGTGCCCGTTTCCTCTCCTTGCCTTTCTTATGGTCGGATCGGAAGACGCTGAAGACGGCAGTTGGCTGTTCTGTCACAAAGTCGTTTGAAATTTTTGTAAATAACAACATAACCAAATCTTTAACTTGTCATCCGATTAGAAGCGTTGAGACATAACTTGGAGCTAGGTGTAAAATCATTGTTGTAGTCGTTCATTCTTCCTTTTCGTTCAGATTGTAAGCCGATCGAAATGTCGTCTACCGATGACCCTACTGATTGTTCTCTTCTTCCAGTTAAAAGGCGACGCTCAAGCATACTGAGGCGAACGTCTGGTAAGAATGTCACCAAAACTCGAGAATCCTGCTCTTTTAATGAGTGCATGACCCCACACTTTTTGTTTTGCAGTTGCTCCAGCAATTATCAACTCTGAATTTGCTCATAGACAGTAAGCAGAATTATTTGTCCCGATTAAATTAAGTGTGCCATGTTTAGTCAATGGTTAATGGTTAATTTTTATGTTTAGGTATGTTTTGGAGGCTCAACAAGAGGCACAAGAATGGATTGATCTCGCCAAGCAGCGACGTCAACAAGCCAAAATAGCAGAAGCTGCGTTAGTATCAAACTTGTCAGACTTAATCAGAAGTAACTGTTGTCTTTTATCACACAGGTAATTGTCTACAATTGTTCATATATGCTTACAGGCTGGAACAGGTTTCGGAACACCCTCCAACTCTTACATTTGATAATGTCGAAGGTGACCTCACACCAGAGGACTTGGAATTTCTTGCTCAGCGGCCTGATTATGAAAAAATATCTAAAGCCTCAGACAATCTTTTTGAGAAAGTTGCCCTCCTTAAAACTAAGATTGAAAATGTACACTCTCAGGGTAAAGCTTCTGAGTTCTTGGTTAAATGTCGTGCTAATTCAATAGCATCAAATATCTGTATGTACAATGATTTAGCACCGGTAAAACAATGTACTATCCCATAATTCATGATGCTCTTTATTTCCTGTTCCCTATTAATTTAAAATAAAGTAATAAGTTAAATTTGAAATACGGATGCAAGTCTTATTAATCTTTTAATACGTTGTACCTTGTTGGCAGTGAAATGTTAAGTGACTGGGGCTTGATCAAGCTAAGGCAACGCTAGCGTGCCAGCAATGCCTGAACTTGATAAAGTCACAATTTTGATGAACTAGTATGCGATGAACACATTCAAGTTTAAAGGCAGTGGTTTCAAAGTGCGCGCTCTCAGCCTTTCAAATTAGAAAAGACTAATCATAATTTCAAAAGAAACTGAGTGGTCAATAACTCATCCATTTACACATGTTGTAATCAATTGAGCAATTAACAATTTTATACAGTGGCTTGACCAGATAAAATCATTTGGGAATCATCAATACTAATACTGAGCTAAATCAAGATCACAAACAGTTCAATAATCAATAACTACATGAAAGGCTCAAATTACAAAATAAATAACCCTAGTAAAAATACAAGTCTGTGGACATATCATCAAATGCCTTCCACAAAATTTTGTCTTTATGTGACAGACAGATGATGATATAGAGTTGAGGCATGATTAGTATTTAAAACATAAGATAATTCATATAGATAGATAACTAAACCATGCTGAGGGATAGAAGCTGCTTTAATAGACCCTTTTCTGAAGATACAACTTCATGAACAGAAGTGCAATCACCATTTGACATCAGCAAAAACTCTTAGCGGAACCAATGTTACCATTCATGCCTCAACTATACAACAACATACGTAGTATACTTAAATAGTAATATGAAACATTCATCACATTCTATATGATAACTTTTCAAGGAAGCAGTGTCTTGCAGGATACTGTTTTACAAATCACTAATAGAGTTGTAAGTATTAATCAAATTCGTTCTCTATTCATACATGCAGGTACAAATCAACATCCAAATGTCACATCACATAGAATACAGTTCCTTGAAAGATTCATTCTTTTATGAAATCAATGACAGTTGATGAGATTGCAATTTTACATTTAGGAAAAATGTAAGATAAAATAATTTTCAGCCATTTAAGAGCTTTAAACATTTTTAAATTCCAGAACAATTAAAAGACACTTCAACTTTGAAAATTATCTTTACCTAAAAGTAAATGTTCTCAATAAATACGACCAAAACAAAATGTGTTTAAAAAGACACATTTTGAAGTAAAAGTAAAGCAAAAGGTAAGTAGAAAAAAATAACAAATTATTGAATCATGAACACTGCACTTGGTAATTACCAGGTAACCAACAAATAACTGCAGTGCAAAAGTAATCCAAATGAAGCACTTTAAAACAAGTACATAACACTATAACATACAACAAGAAAAATTAACAACATAACTCTTGGAGTCCATTTGAATCTTTGGTAACAAATTGAGTGGGATAAATACATAAGGTATGCCACCTTACATAATGCTCACCTTTGACTTTCCAATTCATCTTCTGGAAACAAAAAGTAGAAAACAAGGAATAGAGGAACTAACATTCTGAATAAGTGCTTGTACAAAATTTTTCACCTGTTATCATCTTGGTCCTAAGTGAAAGCTTTTCCTCCTATGACTTCTCCTCTCTTTCAGGGCTAAGTATTCCTTCCGACGAGCACTTGTACGGAGTTCTAATACATGGTTTATTTGCTGAACCACTGCTCTTGCAACAGATTCTGCTGCTTCAAAATCATGATGTTTGAAATTCATTGAATGAGGTGTTGCAGAACTTAGCTCTGGCGATGGACTTGATGAGCGATAGTAAACCATTCTGATGTAAAAAAGAGACATTTACTAGTATTAATAATGTTAGTATGGCTATGATTATTTAAGGTAAGGAAGGCAGGGCTTACCTAAAAACAGCACGGTTATTGGACTTAGTTTCTAGTAAATCACATGCAACTATACAATCTGTGTCATAGCTTACTGCACGTTGCCGAACCCAAAATTTGGCACTAACTTTCTGTTGAGTTACAGGGTCAATTTCTACTTTGTCCCTAGATACACCTGAGGATATAATTATATTTTTTTAATTACCACATACCTAATCAATATGAGACATAAACTCAAGTGAACTACTAAATCATTAATACCTAGATGAATTTCTGTTTTGGCACGAAGTGGGTGTAGAACATGAACTTGGTATGACTGATATAATGAAGCTTCCATGGCGGTCATATGGTCTTTCATTCTTAATTCTGCCTCTTGAAGTTGGGCTAAAAGTAAAGGCAAAGATTTATTTGTGGTATTTTGTTGGAGAACATAGTAATAGCATCATAATCTTTCACACACAACAAATTATCCATTACCTTTTGATTTATTACCAGATGTACCATGAACTGGACCACAGTCTACAACGTCCCTGAGGGTGGGGAAAATGTGTACAATTTGTTAACTCATGAGACTTGAAAACTTCATTATTACTGAAACAGTCACTGTGCAGAACACTTACTTGAACTCTTCCTGTAAATGTGAACTCAAAGACCCTTTGCTCTCTACTAAGGCCAAAAACTTAAAACCAAATTTCCCTACAGTTTCCCGTGGGTCAAGACAAGGAAAATCCCAGTCAATTTCTCCATCATCTTCTGCTATGTGTAATGCATAGCTTTCAACACCACTTCTAGAACATAAGCACAACCAAACATAAAAATTTGTGTTGCACAGGGTGGTTAAAGAAAAGCACAAGGAATAGCAATAATTTGAACTGACTTAAATTTTTGGTTGGGATGTTGAATAGTGCATTTATAAAGAATAAGTCCTATTAGGTCTTGCACCTTTGCAGCAGCTAAGACAATTACTGTCATTGGATAGTTGCAATCAGGAGCAGGCAATAAGGGTAGAAAAATACCATACTTTTTCACTTTAACACCGACATGAGCCTAAAAATCCCAAAAGCACAACGCATCAGATTAACACTCTCACTTTTGGGAAAGCCAAGTTTCAAAAATGTGATTTAAAAACCCAAAACAATTAATACATACACTTCCATCACACTTGGCAAACATTTGGAAAGGATTTTGAGGTAAATTTGGACACTTCTCAAGTTGTTGGGCTAGTAATGATTTGCCGGCCTTAAGTTCTGGCTTGCTTTCAATTTTTAGATCTTTTTCTTGAAAAACCTCCGCCATTTCACTTTCTGTATAAAGCATAAAATAGGTACAGATTATGATCTTTAAATTTTGTACACTCGGGAAAACTGAAGCAAGAATAAATCATACTTGACAAAGCAGCTGGAGCACTTTCCCATTTAATATGTTTAGTTTTTGCTGCTCTTTTTTTCTCTCTGTCCATTTTCTCTAGCCTAGCTGCTGTGTTAGATCTGGCTCTGTGTCCACCAAAATCTAAATCTGCAAGGTAGCAATAGTTTTACCAGTTTTACATCATACATAAAGAAATACTCATGAGTAGATCATTTGCATTGAGAAGCCCAGTAAATCAGTACCTGACTGAATATCAAATGATTGACCCATTGCATCCATATCATCATCCTCACTATCATCTTCACCAGGATAGCAGTCAAATTTGGTGGAAGAAATTAGCTTTTTTGAGAGATTTTCTCCTTGCATGACCATTTCACACATACCTGCAAAACAAGCAAAGAAATTTTAATACATCCAAACTAGGAGGAAAAATCTACGAACAGAAATTTACAATTCAAGAATAAAGAAAGATAAGTAAGGATCGGCAGAACCTTGCAGGCAGCGTAAAGTAAACACTATTAATATTGACACAGTATTAGGCAACGTATGGGTGGGCAGTAAGTAACTTGAAAACTATAAATTGACCTGATAATATTGAAAATAAAACAGCGCATTACTTTTTAAACGCCAAAAGAAAAACAAACAAAGAGAGGAAATCTCAAAGGAAAGTGACAGACCATGTTCTAAAGGACTAAAGACCATGACATTCCATACCAGGAACCATAAGACTTTCCCCAAGTGACTCTAGATAAGTTACGTCTCAGATGTACGTTTGAAAAAGGAGTATTTTGCGATAAAAACACAGAATATTACAGAAATCAAATGAAATGAACAGCAGACACCAAAGGAACACAGCTTTCTTTCACGCACTGCCGAGAAAGAGGATGACCAGTGAAGTACAGAGGTAGTATACATACCAGTATCATCAGAAGAAACAAAGGAGTTTCTTATATGAGAAATGAGCCAATGTTTATTATCATAAAATGCCATAACTGTTTTAATTGTTGTTTATACTAAACCCGGCTGACATAACCTCCATTCGACTTTCAGTTATCGAGTTCGATAGCAGGTTCTACAACGAACGAACATAAACGAACTGATGTAATTCAATTTTGACAAACGTGCTCTATTTCTTCTTCTTTGTTTGATAGGAATTTCAAATTGAACAATAATCAAATTCCGGAGCAGCAAAATCTCTCAGGAGGCAAGGCGATGCCGAATGGGCGGGGTCGATGACTCAAATGAAGCAGCCCTGTTTAGGGTCAGGCCGACCCGGAGCCGGAGAGCGCGCGGTTTTAAACTCATTCATTGAAGTTTTTTTTCGGGCTCCCGAAGGTGTTTATTTTTTTTGTTCGGTCAAATCTCCTACACGATCCATAGATGCCCACGAATTAATACTACAGGGCAATTGCTCAGTTAAGAGATGAAGAGGTCTGATCAATTGATGAGATACTGGCCAGTTTTAAAATTTGTATCGATTCATGGACAGTGTTACAGCCCATGATTTCGAACCGCTCCACATTGGAATCATCGTTTTTATTCATGTGTACGCACCTACATGATTAAGGTCAATGACCAATGATTAATCAGCAGCCAGTCATTCAATGATCAGAAGATGTAACAGGAAGAGCTTTGTAAATTAGGAAAACTATCTTGGTGAGCAGATGCCCAAATGGACATTCACTGATTTATTTCCTCCTAGAGTTGTACAAGGAATTGTTTAGCATCATGTTCAGTTTTAGTTTCTATGGGGCTAAACAGAAACAATACCCCATTGAACACGAAGGCAATTATATTCAGGAGCTTAGGATGAACAATGCAGATCTTTGTGAATTTGTTGTATTTTCAGCAATTTGTACATGGTAGAAAATGATTTGCATTTACTCAAGACAGTGTCCTATTGCTTGTACCATACATCACCCAGCTCACTTTTCAGCTACAAATGAGAGGTTTACCACAAGGGGACAGCGATCTTTATACACATTTACAAGGTTTAGGTTGCCTCCTGCTTCTTGAAGTTACATCCCAGTTATAAACATGATTGAGCACATCTTTAAGTTAAAACAAGGATACAAATCCATCAAAGTGGAGTTCACAATAAATTTCATAAAAATGGCAGTGAGTGAACAATGCCTTATAAAACAGCCCCTTAATTTTGATTTAATGTGGTAAACCTCTCAATTAAACCCCAGCAAGTCCCTTCGAGAAGAAAATTGCATGAGATGATGTGAATATGAACTAATCCGCTTAGAAGGCGAAGAGAAGCAGGAAGGCCATCATAAGACAGAAGAGCCCCATAGCCTCAGACAGGGCGAACCCAAGAATGGCGTAAGAGAAAAGCTGCTGCTTGAGGGAGGGGTTCCTGGCATAGCCGATGATCAAGGAACCGAAGACTGATCCAATACCAGCACCTGAAACAGATACGTAATTAGTATCCAGGTAGGCGAAAGGGTAATATTAAATCAATGAGTTAGAATGCTCACCTGAGCCAGCAACACCAACAGTGGCGGCACCAGCACCGATGAACTTGGCGGCGGAGTCAATGTCGTTGGACACTGCTGAGGTCTGGAAGCTTCGGACAAGGGGGAGCAGACTCTGGCTGGGGATGACAGGGGTCTGGACCTGGCTGGCAGAGTTGACTGCGCTGACCAGGGGTCGGAGGTATGCCCTTGAGCTGGAGACAAGCTGTAGGAAAAAGAAAGAGCACTTGTTAAAAGAGATTCCTTGAAGACAGCATGAAAATAAGTGTGTAGGGGCACTTACGGCGCTCTTGGCAGCGGGGGCAATGCGGGCACAGGCAAACATGGTGATTGTTTGTGGAATTGGTAAGTTACCTGCAGAAAGAGGATACAGAATGAATGAAATTTGCACTGCAGAAATCTTTCAATCCGGTCTTCAATTGTGAACATGAAGTTGTGTCCCCCAATAAAGTGGAACCCTAAAAAGAACCTTGACCACTAGCCTGGACATCATTGATTTTCAGCTAGACTCCTAGGCACCCCGCAGAGGCAAGAACAAGTGAACATCGAAGTTAGGTTAGGACACGGGGCTTGACTGAAAAGAGTTAAATGACCTATTCGTCAATGAGACAGTTGAATAGTCACACTTGAAAGCTGACAAAAGATCCGTGATTCGGTCCGAAAGGGCTAAACCACACTTCGGGTCCATTATCAATGGATTTTAACCAATGACACTTTGCACATCTCATTAAGGTCAAAAGGTTAGAGCATCTGCAGCGACTTAAAGCAAATCGATTGAGTGACTACGTTTGAACTACAGCTTTAAAGAATTGGATGGGGAATCCACGATAGGCCAACAACACGTTAGCAGAAGGAAATCACGTGAGGGCAGTTAATACTTGCTGAGGTAGTCAAGAGTAAAGATGGCGAGAGGTTTCGGCCCGAGCTCTGCGTGTCCTAACTGCACCGAGCTCAAGTGGAGCTAGATAAGTAAACCAAAGTTCTATCCAACCGCAATGATTTAAAAGCCCCGAATACAACGTAGCTGACAACACACGGGGGGTACCGGAAACTACTTTGCCTAAAACTTAGCCAAATGAACCTTCGGCAGTCGGGCCGAAGTACTTGCCCCGATCCTCCAGGACAGTCTGAAGGACGAATGGGGCGTTGCCAAAGGGCTGCGATTTTACGAGGGGGAAAATAACTCGAGGATTAACTCAAATTAGGATAAAAACCAATCCAATGGCCGGTACGAACTTTTCCACTTTAGAGGTGAAAATGGCTGACCGGGTTCCTACGCTAAGCCACCAGTGAAAAAAGGCGCCCGAGTCCAACTCAGCGATCGACACACGGAAATACATACACCAAACGCCCTCGCAATTATTACTCTACAACTACAGACCGAATCTAACGACGGATGCGCTCGAAAACTCCACGAAGGGCCGGATAACTAACGTACCTTCCTAGACAATCTCGAACTCACCGAAGAACAGATGAGAGGAGGAGGCGACCCGTCCTTGGGAATGTGTAAAACGCAAGTGACCGCAGAGCGAAACTCAGCACCACCGTAGTCAACCGTAGCTTCCAACTGGGCGTTCCGTGCGATGGTGGGCTCGGGTTTTCCATACGACGAGTTCCACCCCTTCCTTTTATCGACCAGCCGAAATTAGGCACTACGTTAGTCAGTCAACATTGTGTGTTTTCGGGTAAAGAGCTGATTCTGTGTGATTTTCGCTGCCGGAAGAGCTAAATTAAATCGAGAAGACCATAGTCCTTCGGTTCTCAACCGTTCTTAACCCTTTCGTGGGTGATAAAGTCAAAATTTTGTTAAAAGCGGTCGATGAAGTGAAAGGGGGAGGAGGGGGGACTTTGACATTGTAGGTGGTGGATGATGGCTGTGTTCATGGTAAACATCTGTAAATTCGATGGTTGCGGAATTATATTTCAAGGGTTAGGAGATCTCATTCAGCACATAGAAGAATCCCACATCGGTAACTCAACTCAGATTTCAGATTCTCCTCTTTCCTTGTGTCTCTGTTTGAGTTATTGAGTTGGCCCAGTACAGTCGTAGCCAAGAGTGCGACGCCCTGCACGGTTTTCTTTCTTTGATTTGATCGCTACTATCTCGTAGGCATAGTCTCACAACACATTTGCTGGGTATTTTTTTGTAGGAGCAGCTTTAAGTTTACTTTTGTTTTTATTTGGCGTAGCTTTTTCGTTAAGGTCACTGTAGTAAGGTTATGCATCGTCAAAAGCTTCTGCTACACCCGAACATATCCCCACCCCCTCCCCTCCTCCTAGCGGCAAATTTAAATCCACTCGCCTCTCCTAGAGGAGAGAGAGAGGTGATTGCGGTCTCCAGCGGTGCCGACAGTGCCCATCCTAATTTACACTGCTATTTGTATTGTATACCTATGTTTTTACCTCACATCTACCACAAGTAACTCACCTACTATACAAAATATACCTGTAATTCATCTTGAACCATCACAAATAATGTAAATTGTGTCCAATTTTGACTTTGAAATTATGCTGCCCTATTCATCTACATGGCACTTGCAAGCCCCTATGTGCCCAAGTGACATCCCTATCATTGCACTTATTGAATCAATTTTTATTAAATATATAATAAATATATGAATAATTTTCCACATGTGAAAACATATGCTACCCCACCCTGCTTTTTTCCTTTTTTTACATCAAATAATAATACCTTTACTAAAAAAATATATAATCATTTGATGTCTTAGGCTTCTATTGAAAACTTTTTGTATGTGGTATTGAATTTATATTTGCATTATTCCAGATGATGATCCAGTGGTGATTGAGAAACAGGAAGAGCAACACCCAGTCAGTCTACCTTTGAGTTATGTGTTGCGCTTTTTCACCGATGCAGCCCGCAAAGAATTTCCAGATGTTAAACCAAAAATTAAGTCCATTGCACAAAATAATAGCAGTCAAAACCAAGGACCAAAAACATCCCATTCACCCACCAATAAAACACTTTCTACCACCTTAGTACAAAGAAATTTTTCACCTGCAGGTACTGATTGTTTGAAAAAATGCAACCTCCATCACACCATTTAATGCTATATTTTACTAAATTTATCTTCAATATCTCAGGGAGTGACATTGAAGAAGATGAAGCCATGACAGACTCTGACAGTAATGATTCTTGGACTACATCAGAAGAGTTCAGCTCAGAGTACATCCTCCGATATGGAAGCAGGTGTGCCTCTCAAACTCCTCTTAAATGTATTGCTTTAGTTTCCTTACTACTACAATTAATTTTCACCCTGCAGGTGTATAACTTCAAGTCCAACAAATCCTAACCAGATGCCAGAAAAGCCCTTTGCTTGCCCTGTGCCTGGATGTAAAAAGAGGTACAAGAATGTAAATGGCATCAAGTATCACTCTAAAAATGGGCACAAAAATGACGGAAAGTAAGTAGTAGTGTCATCTCAATTTAATCTAGTTCTACCTGATTTCCAATATTTTTAATTTTTTTTTTTCCAAAGGATTCGAAAAGCATTTAAATGTCACTGTGGCAAAAGTTACAAAACAACCCAAGGATTGAAAATGCACACAACTACTCATCATTCTGGGGCCAACCTTACAACCATCACAACACAAATGGGGGAAATACTGCAAATTCCAAGCAGAGAGGTTGCAGCTGCATTGAGTCCGTTGAGAACTGTTACTTTAAAACCGCTTGTAACAACCTCAGGGCTCAATGTAAGTGCGTTAAGTGGTGCTTTGGGATTGCCAGTAAAAGCTTTGCAGGTATGTCTTAAATTACTACTCCTGCAGTTAAAGATCTTTTTTCTTTCTTTTCTAAGCTACATGCCACTACTATTGTTTCTTTAATTTTCAGGGTGTTGTGTTATCTGCAAAAGCTGCTCAACATGCTACACAGTTAAAAGGGACTGTAATTGATGCAAACAGTTTCAATCTAGCTGCAGCCCTGGCAGCAAAAAAGGTTTCAGCAACGTCTGTTAGTCATACTATAAGTAGAAGCCAACCTGCATCATCTACAAAATCAAGTGGGCTGTTTATCAATACCATCAACATCACCCAACCATTCACCAAGGTGACTGCTGTAAGTGAATCAACTACTTCAGGCATCCTCACTCCTGCTACATCTCCCCAAACACCCCCTTTGACACCGGATAGCCAAACCACAGCAAAACTCATCATGTCTCTCCCATCACAACACATGGTAACCTTACCTCTCACTCCAGTCAGCCCTGCCACAACCCCTCCTCTAGGCCTCGAGACTATGGATGCTTTAGAAAGTGTTGAGGGTATTGAGTGATGTGGAAGTGGAAAAATAACAGGATTTGAAGCAAGGACATTCTTCTTAAAAAGTATTAATTTGATGAACAGAAATATCTTGTCAAATGCTTATGCAAGGCTTTCAGTTCAAGGAGATGCAGTCTACCTTATGAGACTTGAATTTGTTAAATCTCACCTATTCACCTGTTTAATTATCAAATGAAATTTTGTTTTGAGCATAAGAAGAAACATACAGAGAATAAGTTTAAGTATCAAGCATCAGTTTATGAAGGTGGAAACTAAAGTAAGCTGCTTTTGTTCTACAACACATTAGTTTCAAGCTAGGAGGAGTTTCCATCTGATGCAAATTTTATGTGCCTTTGAAGAAAAGAAAACTGGAAAAAAAAAAATTAATAGGGGATTGAAATCCAAGCAAGTTTATAAGTGTCATACTATTAATAACTAATGAACACCTTTTGTTTTCTCCCTTCTCTAGAATTTAACTTCTAGTTTAATGAAATTGATTTGACTGTCATTATTTGTTTTATTGCAGTTGTTTTGTGATATAAGTTAATTGTATTCAGATTCAGTGTGTTATGAAGCTTGTGAGTAGTTCTAGTCATTGTTGACCTGCACAACATACAAATGGCGGAAGACTTTTTCTTCCCAAAAATGTATTTAAGTGTTCTTTGAAATGTTTTTTTTTTTTTTCTCTTTTTGTTGTTGCTTTAGGTACAATACCACAAGTATTCAAGTGGTGAGCTATTACATTTTTTGAAAGACTAGTGTATATGATAGTTACTTATTCTTTGTTGAATAAGATTTTGGTTTTCAACTGTTACACGTTGATCATTGTTAAGTTGCTTTTCCCCCATCTTTTTTGTTACATTGGTGTTTAATGTATCTGATCATAATTGCTGTCGCACCTGGAAGGTGTTAGTGTGAAGCCTTTTTAGTTCCCTTTACCATGAACAGTATACTGGTCATAAGACATATCTGTTTTTGTTAATTAAGATAGAACTTTTGACATGCTTCTGGCCTATTGCAGACAACCTGGCTTTGTCCTTTCTACATCTGCAATTTTTATTATTTAATCACATTAAATTTTGGCCCAAAAATTGTATAAATGTTCTTTTATATGACCTACGCAAGTAGAATTATTGTATTACTAGTCATCTTTTCTTCTATATTTGAGTGAAGAATATAACCTTCTCAATCTGATTTGTAGAGACTGAACAAAGAGATGAATCCTTGGGAGATACCATCCTAGGTATTGTATATGTGTAGATTTGTTTTTTTTTTTTTTGTTTTTTTTTCTTTTCTCTGAAAAGGAGTTTTTATTTTTGAACTTGTGAAGTATTTAAGTTTTTACACACAAAACCACACTTTCAGGACAACTTCTCTGCACTTCAGTAAAGCACCTGTACCTGTATTGTAAGGCTTCTTCCCTCAGGAGGCTATGAAGTCGTGTATTATGTACTGCTATTTTGTGAGCTCGTATACTGAAGCTACTCTTGTAAACTAACTTGTAGATCTATTGAGTTTTGTATCACATTTTAATTTTTAAACATTGTTTCTACAGTGTGCGATTGGAGACAGGATATGTTCTGAATGTGGTATCGCATGATTTAATCTGGCAGGATGTTAGTGATATCGGCATTCAAGTATAATTGAAGTACCCCCATAAAACCAAAAATGATTTTAGCATAGAAAACATATAAGTTTTTAATACATAGCTTGTTTAATCAGTCATCTCCAAATGCTTTCAACTTCTTGTATTGGGTGTGCATGAGAGTTTCAACAATTCTCATTTTCTCCTGCTCTGAAATTGTGGCAACAGCGTAAGATTTATTTCTAGCTGAGTTGAAGTTAGAAATGTGATCATCCTTAGCAAGTGCTCTAGTGAAAAATAATTTGAAATGAACATAGTTTGTGTGCTTTTATTTGTAATCTGTGATAGTTTTACTGTGTGTATTCACATATAATTAGAATATCCAGGTCTTGAGAAGTATTTCTCTATAAGTGTTGTAATGAATATGCAAGCAAACTACTACTATTCATCTTTATTGAGTATAACTCAAAAAAATCAACAACAACAACAGTGAATATTCCTGGCTTCATATGCCTTGTCTATTCCTCTCCCTAAAAATAGGAAAACTTTGAATAATTTACATTTGATGTTATGTGGTTGAATTTGAAACATCATGTTGCTTATTGAGGAAATCAGATTGGAGAAGTCAAACGTTTGGCCATAAAATTTTTCCAATCGGTTGAGTTTTGGTCTTTGTGGAATTTGTGATATGGTAATGAATTACATTTACCTCCATTTATTTTATTTTCCTCGTTTGTTTGAATCTGCAAAGCAGTTAATTTGTGTTTTGTTTTTAATGTTCAATGTCTTTTTGATGAGAAAATTAACTTGCTGCTCAGAAAAGCCAGACATTCCTAAATGAAAAGGTTGTCTTCTTATGACTGATTGCAGAGTATTAGCAGCAGTGCAAGAACCACCACCAGATTTAATCACCTCAAATTTATTGAAAAGAAAACAATACCGTAAATTAGATTGTGAATGGGAGTTTCCTGACTTAACTGAGCAGCAATCAGTTGCGCTACAAGTAGCAGATCCTAAATGTTTTACAACAGCGCATGAAACAAGAACTTTGTTACTTTCGCTCAGAGTGAGTTTACCTTGTCCTAAACTTTATCTCAATTGTTTCACTTAATTGAGCTTCTAGCTGGACTCATTTTTGGCACACTCAAACTGTTTGTAAAATTTACAGTAAATTTTCAGTTGAATTTTAGGAGAACTTAGCAGCACAAACAAATTTTATGAAGTGCTGCAATCCCAGCACAACATTCTTTTTTCGTTTTGTCAAGAAATGTTCTGTGCTGTTGACTGATGAGATGACTGAAGCACTCTTACAATGAGTGCCAAACTTTAAAAATTGGATTGAACATTGGTTCGTATTTTTAGTTTCCTTTGTGTTGAAATGCTAATAGCTGTATGTCCTACTGTGTAATCACATCAGCTTTGTAAAGAACAGTGCCACAAATAAAGTGAGATGATAAACATTCTTTTACAAATTTTAATTCATGACATGGTTTTAGTACTTTTCTCTGCCTATGTTACTTTTGCTACAGCCATGGTAAAAATAAGTAAAATATCACAGGAGAATACAACAAATATACACAAAATAAGATTCTTGATTAAACACACAATAGTAGGATAAGATATCACAAATAATAACAAAATTGCAAAATCATCCAGAGGATGAACCTGCCAGTATATACAGCATTTAGCCCCACAGAGTATCATAGTTTGACTAGCCAATTGATAGTGGATGTGGAATCACATTTCTCACTTTCTCTCCTATTTTCTACTGCTTAATTGAGTGAGGAATGTGTTAATTTGTTCAATGACATTCTGTTCTGCGGACCCACACTTTGATTGGACGGCAATAAGAGCTTGGGTATCTTTCTGGTCAAAAGCAGTCTGAGCAGCCTGTTTCAACATTCTGGAGGTAAAAGAATAAAAAAATTATGCAAGTGCATTGTGATGAAATGTTATATTATTTCTTGCAAATTCTTGGAGGTCACTCACCCAATCTTTACATAGTATTTCACTTTTAGATCATCTCGCACTCTGCTCATATACTTCTGTGCTTCTTCTCTTTCATTTCGTTCAAAGCAGACATCAACAAAAGGCTGTGTGTGTTTTAAAATCAGAATGTATAATAACTTTAAAAACCATGTGACACAATAAGGACATTGTCTCAGTGTTAACATTAATAATTTTACTATACCTCATATCCAATTGGAGACTTCTTCTCTTTGGAAAAGTTTTCAAGCTGTTTCCACTCTCCGTTGCGGGCATGGGCTAATATGCGTAACCACCAATACCTTCAGGAAAATGATAAATCAGTATACACAATACTCCACTGCTGAGGAAAAGTGTATCAGATCTTATATGAAGTCAATTTACCTACGATCAGGAATTTTAAACTCATTGCGTAAACTTTCAGCAACTTTCACCTCTTTCAAAGTCAGAAGTATTTCAACTGTATCATGAAGTGACTGTCCAAAAAATTCCCTGCCAAATTTATCTTCTAAAGTCCTTTGAATCTTTAGAAGTCGAAGTTGCTCATCACAAGCACCTGCCAGAAAATCATTTCTAGCATTTTTATAGCTCTGACGTGCTGCTGCTAATGATGCCTCTCGAGTCCCAGAATTCTGTTTTATTAGATACAAATTGCAGTGAACTAGATTCTTAAGAAAATCATTATGTAGGAAATAGGCCAAAGCATACCTTAGGTAGATAGGCATCCTTGAGATGGAGAGCAGCTTGCGCATTATAATTTGATTCTTGGTCATGAATATCATGAAGTTCTTTGTTATTGTTCTCATAACTGTATTTGATGTAAAGGGACTGAGCCAATGGGTAGTTCCGAATTTTCAGCTGTAATTGGAGAAGAATAACAATCAGTTTTTATGATAGTCAAGGATTTAAAAAGACAGATTGTGGTAGGGCATGGGCATGAGGAACATACATAAAAATCGGCCAGTGGCATCTTAGCATGCATTCTAAGAAGCACTGAATATATTAAATCAGTGTCTCCACTTTCCATAGCTTTCAGTAAGGCAGGAACCTCCTCTCCTAGATCAAGGAGCAAGGGGACTTGTTCTCTGGCTCGAGGTTCATAGTCCATCAACTGCAACAACAAGAACAGTCTGTGAATGACATAATGTTTTACAAATTGCAATCCGGAACATTATTTGTAACATCAATAGTTTTTAAATACTGTACAAACCCGAATAGCCAGATGTTTGTGGCCACAATTATTAGCTCTCAGAGCAATGTCTTTGTAGGAAATTCCAGGAGCTTTACCAAGTTTGCTTGCAATTTCTCTTGCTACTTGTTCTCGGTCCTGTTTTGCTTGTGCAACCTGCACACATATAAAACTTGTGTAACACAAATTCAGAAAGACAAAAGAATCAAACCTTTATCAAATTAATTGTCGCGCATACCTTATAGAAAGCCCATTCTGCTAATATACGGCTTGAACCTTCAGCAGGTGGCAGTTTTAAATGTTTGCAAATTTGAATTGCCATATAGTAATGTCTTCTGCGAATAAGTCTTTCAAGTAATCCAACAATATTCATTTTCCTTAGCCTGAGGATTGAGGTCAAGGTTGCACACATAATTTATATTCATTTTAAAGAACACTTTTGTTTAATTAAAAAGGAAAATTTTAAAGGAAAACCACAACCTAGAGATAAAAGGATACTGTGTATTGGTGATAGGAAGACTGACTTTGTGATCACGGACAGCATTCAGAACACGAAGAACACGGCACATCCTAACATAATTTTCTGGATCTAAATCAGGAACAAAACCTTTCCCGAACTGAGCAGCCTAAAAATTGACAGAACATATAAAGATTCCAGTAAAGTAGTTCCGATGTGTGATGGTTAAAGGTAAATAAAGCAAAGGCACGCACCCTTATGAACATCTTTTGATTGTCATGTGAAAATTCATATCCAGCAGCTTCGATACAATTTTCAACAGCCAATGGCAAATTGTCTTTAACAAGACGAATATATTCATCCGCGGTGTGATTTCGGCGCTACAAAAGAAAATGTAATACAGACATCAGATGCTTTAAATTTAAAGCATTCAATTCAACATGAACACAGTTCTAACCCTTTTAAGTTCCTGTCACACTGACTCTGTTAAAACTGAAACTGGGCTGATAAAGTTGATAAAATAGCTGACCTGAAACTGCCGTGATGCCTCCAGAAGATATAAACCTGGGTCAACACTATTGATTCGCAGGATCTTTTGAACTACTGATGGAACCGACTGCAAAATCTCATGAGAAGAGCTCGAAATAACACGTGCACAATCAATTTCTGCCACCACATGCACTTTTGAGTCACATGGGTATGTCAGTGTATCACCATTTTTTGTAACAAGGAGAAGAGTTCCATCCCAGACACCAAGAACTCCATCAGAGCCACACCTGTACATTTTCCCACAGTGATGACTATCAAAACAGGATATATTATAGGACAATGACATTGATTGCAAATTATTTAGCTACATACCATGCTAGTTGCAGTGGTCTATAAGCATGGGATGTGTCAATTTCACAATACTTCGACCGTAAGTCAGATGAACCAATCCACAATCTACCTTTGTCAGTAAAGAGACCAATCTGACGATTGTCCACGGAAACTGCCATTTCAACAACAGAACTCAATCGATCAGAAAATTCCAATACCTGATTATATTGGAACAAAAATGAATCAATACTATGAAAACTAGATACTCTACTGAACTTTTGGGACCACACAATAATATGAAACAAAAAATACATACAACAGGCACAGGACGGCTATCATTGTGTGATAACAAATAAAGCTCTCTTTCTTTGGCAACCAAAATTTTTGTCTGCCTATCTTCAACAATAACTCCCCAACTGCTGGGGGGTGCATTAAGTCCTTGATCAAATAAAATTTTACATTACATAGTTGGAAAAACCTTCACAAAGTTACATTAGATTAAAAGTATTAGCCAGTAAATGTTACCTGGAATTTCAGGCATTGGTCGAGTTTTTGGTTCTTTGACACTATTCACAAGAAAAAATCTATAGGATGACGTTAATATTGCTACACCAGTTCCACCAGCACAGGTAAACACCTTGGCTTCTATTACTTTTGTGACTCTTGCTTCCTGGACATTAAACAACAATGGTACAGCCAAAAAAATTAACAAATTACCAAGCACAAGAACAGAAGAGAGATTCTGTACAAATAACTTACATCACACATGGAAAATGTGTGTTGGTGGTTGCCAAAAATGTCATATCTCAAAACAGACCCATCATCTTCAATGCAGAGTAGGTCCTCAGTAGTGGACCATCCAACTTCGATAACAGATTTTGTTAACTGAACAGATAGACAGTTATTGTAGCATTCACACAATCAGGAAATTTATGCTGAGTATAACATAAAAGTAGAGTCTGCTCACACACCAAGATAGAGGAGACAAAAGCACCAGCAGCAGTGTAAATTGCTACACTGGGCTTTCCGCTGCCTTGAACTTGGACAAGTTTCTTGGGGTCTCGACGTACAGCAAATGGTCCACCATAAGAGCATGATGTCATGATTACATTTTCCATGCTAAAGCTATCCTCCCATTTGTAGACTTCAAATTTGCTGTCAACAAAGAAATATCATAGGTGCTAACTACCTGTCAAAACTATGGTTATAAAGTAACATTTAATAATTAAGGGATATAAAGGAGTGTACCGATAATACTCATCTCTTCCCACGGAGCACCAGTCAGCAGTTAGTAGGACTGACATTTTCACTAGAGCAAAAAGAGGTCTGGAAACCAATCAAACGAGAATTTTAGCATAAAGTTTTCTGTCATCAAATGATCAAATAAACACCCCTTAAATTACGTGGTTTGTTTACAATCAGTTACTAACGTATTTTAAAAGGCAGTTTTGTAGTGGATACGTTCCTACATCTACTTTTCCCTTTTTGCAAGATTTTTCTAAATGTTTTCTTACTTCCGCTCCAAGAATACTACTTTTTGTGATTTAAAATTTTACAGTGTTCTTTTGCTTTAGTATTTACCATGTTTCATCCGTAAATTTCGCATAAAACTACTAATATTGTTGAGTGCTGGTCAAAGTTTATCGACCACCGTACTTCCTGTTGGTAAGCTAAAAGAGGAGAACACGAAAAGAGGAAGTTGCAGTATGCTTTTACCTTTCCGCCTACAGTCTTTTCGGTCCTGATTCTTGAAACACAGACATGGCTGTAGGAAAAAATAAGGGCCTGTCGAAAGGAGGCAAGAAGGGAGTTAAGAAGAAGATGTAAGTGTTCAATAGTGTTAAATAATGTCAATTGCCCATCGATCTTTCGTATTTTGTAATTGCCGTACCCCAGATGGGCATATTATTAGAGATGATAGTGGATGATGTGCGTCTCCACGGCACCTCGCGACATGGCACTGCACGGGCCGATGTGTTGACGTGGTTATTATAATGGTAGATTTTGTGCAACACGAACATCTAGCCTGTGTTGACGACATGCCCCTCTTCAATTCATTCCGTAGGAACTGATTTTCCTGATAGGATTTTGGTATGTTTTGCTTGTGCCGGGTTGTATTAGTAGGGTTATGTCACCGGGAGGATATGGACGCACCTTGTTTTTTGGGATAGTTTACCTCACTTTACTCCCTGGCAGGAACCCTTAGCTCATTTACTGTCCTCGGAAGATCATCCGAACTGACCAGATTATATGTTTTATCTTTCGATCTGACCCCGAGTGTATTTTCTTTATTTGTGCTCTAACCTATGCTCTTGTTTCTTTGCAGTGTCGACCCCTTCACAAGGAAGGACTGGTACGATGTCAAGGCACCGTCCATGTTCACTACCCGCCAGATCGGCAAGACCTTGGTCAACAGGACACAGGGTACCAAGATTGCCTCTGAGGGTCTGAAGCACCGTGTCTTCGAAGTGTCCCTGGCTGATCTTCAGAACGACAACGATGCTGAGAGGTCCTTCCGCAAGTTCCGCCTCATTGCTGAGGATGTTCAGGGTCGCAATGTTCTTACCAATTTCCACGGCATGGACTTGACTACTGACAAGCTGAGAAGTATGGTGAAGAAATGGCAGGTGAGTTTTACTTGCTTAAGTTTCAACCTAGCAGCCAATGTATGATGATCATTACAGATCCAACGCTGATCTTAGTGAAGATACCCGAGCAATTTCTGACATTAGCTGCATTTTCATTTCAATGGCATTTACTGTGATGAATAGAACAGATCCAACGCTGATCTCTATGAAGATAGCAAAGCTTTTTTCTTCTGATTTTAAGTGTAATTGATTCACCTTCTGTTTTCATTTCTGTACGCTCACACATATTGTTTGTTTTCCAGACCCTTATTGAGGCTAATGTTGACGTTAAGACAACTGACGGCTATCTTCTGAGAGTGTTCTGCATTGGATTCACCAACAAAGATCACCAGATGTCACATAGGAAAACTTGTTATGCTCAGCACACTCAGGTTAGTTACATCCCTGGCATATTCTTTTTAAAGCCCTTCTATACTAGAGGTTTTACGAAGTCTCTTTTCAATAGGTGCGAGCTATCCGTAAGAAGATGGTTGAAATCATCACCAGGGATGTGACATCCAGTGACTTGAAGGAGGTTGTCAACAAGCTCCTCCCCGATTCCATTGCCAAGGATATTGAAAAGGCCTGCCAGGGAATCTACCCCCTCCATGATGTCTACATCCGTAAGGTGAGTCAGTTGCTGCTATTCCCTTTAAAACTTCCATTCCATTGTATTAAGTCGAATTACTTGGCTGTTACACCTTGTATCACTTTGCTATGTTTTAGGTCAAGGTCCTCAAGAAGCCCCGTTTCGAACTCAGCAAGCTGCTTGAGTTGCACGGTGATGGTGGAAAGGGCTCAGATGAACCTGGTGCGAAGGCTGACCGTCCTGAGGGTTATGAGCCCCCAGTTCAAGAAGCTGTTTAAATGGAGTTTCATTAAATAAAAAATAAAAACCATCCTCTTTTATTAATTTGCGCCCTTGGCATATGCGAACTGCATCAACACCACGACATATGTGACTATGATAGAGGCACACTGAAATAGAGGGTGCATATTAGACAAAGACCAAGTGTTACCAAGATTGTTAAATCAACATACCCCAACTGCCAGTGCTCTGTTGAGTGATGTAAATCCTCCCATATCTAGACAAGGATCCTGAATGTCTACTGCTTTCAGAAATTTAACTAACTGGAATAAAGGTGGACACAAGTGAGATGAAGTACTTTCACTTTTTAATTTGTTTTCAATTACCTCTGGGTAGAGGTTTGTACTGGCTGTCGCGAATTTGGCTCTTGTCATTTCTTTTACGAAGGCGTCCTTCACCTATAGTAATGAATTGGATTACTCAGAATACTGAAATAGTCAACTTTAGAAATTGGACACACCCAGCTTTCCAAACCTCTCTGCGCACTCTGCTGCCTGCACTGCACACTCTGTTGATGTTGTAAATGTTGTGAACCACTGCAGTCATCATTCCAGCCAGTCGATCATCAATGACCTTGTCGCGTGCGAAAGACAAAGTAACTTGAAACTAATGTGCCTACAACGGCCTTGCTTTGAGGAACCCCAGTAAACTTCATTTGTATCCCTAAGCGGCCACCCCTTTTGAAATTATTTCCATAACAAACAAGTTGTTCTGCAGGGCGCCGCCGTCGGAGCAGGCAACCCAACGTACTTGACTGCTGTCTGTGGCCCCTGCTTCGTCTGCTACATACTCGAGTCCTCTGGACCCAAAGCAATACCAGGGGAGTCTCTGCCTCCATCCCTTCTCTCCGCTCCTCCGGAAGGAAACCCCTTCGGATAAAGTTGTACCTGGCCACGTAGCAACGGGAGGGAGATGCCGAACACGGAGAGGAGCAGGACGGTGACGGAGGAGAGGATGAGATGCGCGAGGCACGGCGTCCACGTCAGGCTCCACATGCGCACTAGGTGCTGCAGCTGCATCCACAGCCAGCGCAGGTCGGCCAGCGCCCGGCGCCGCGGCCCCGAGTCCGCAGCCTCCCCGACGTCGCCGAGCACCTGGATGGCCCCGGGCGGAACATAGAGGGTGAGCGTGCCGGCGTGCGCGCCGTCCCTATACGTCGTGGTCCCGACCTGCACGAGCTCGGCGCGCAGCCGCTGAGCCGCCGTCTCCAGCGCCAGGGCGATGAGGACCCAGGTCTCGGGCAGGATGGCCAGGTAGGTGGCGTTCATCTCGTAGACGGGGAACTGGTTCCACGGCACGTAGCCCGCGTCGTGCGACCAGAGCACGAAGGCCAGGCCGACCACGGGGCACAGTGCGGCCGTCACTCTGGCCTTCTTGGCCACGCCAAAGCTGAGCCGGTGACCCGTGACCTCGCGGAAGTTGACCTGGCGGGGGAAAGTTCGGTGGCGGTAGTTTAAATCGAGTATGCAACGGAGTGACGAGTAGTTAGAGGTACATTCTAACTAGGGCAAGATGCCCAATAATGGACAGCTTAAGAGATG